CTGTTAGTTAACAACTACTATATCAATGTTCAGTGTTAGTTAACATCTGTTATGGGCTCATGGAGTCTAAGATTTTAACTCATAGTTAGCATCATCTTAAAAAATTTAGATACTGTGGTCCGTGTTAGAGTCCGTGTACTTGTCCTTGTCCGTGTTTGTCGTTGCTGTTCTTGTCAACACTTCTCTCTTGATTATGTTTAGTGTTAATATTGAAGACAGACTAAATGTTTAGATACCACGAAATGTATTCGTGGTCACGACGGCAGCAGCTGTGTGTGTGTGAGTGTGTGTGTGTGTGTGTGTGTGTGTGTGTGTGTGTGTGTGTGTGTGTGTGTGTGTGTGTGTGTGTGTGTGTGTGTGTGTGTACTCACTTATTTGTGGTTGCAGGGGTCGAGTCCTAGCTCCTGGCCCCGCCTCTTCACCGGTTGCTACTAGACCCTCTCTCTCCCCGCTCCATGAGCTTTATCAAACCTCGTCTTAAAACTGTGTATGGTTCCTGCCTCCACTACGTCATTTTCTAGGCTATTCCACTGCCTTACAACTCTATGACTGAAGAAATACTTCCTACTATCTCTCTGACTCATTTGTGTCTTCAACTTCCAATTGTGGCCTCTTGCTTCTGTGTCCCCTCCCTGGAACATCCTGTCCTTGTCCACCTTGTCTATTCCACGCAGTATTTTATATGTCGTTATCATGTCTCCCCTGACCCTCCTGTCCTCCAGTGTCGTCAGGCCGATTTCCCTTAATCTTTCTTCATAGGACATTCCCCTTAGCTCTGGAACTAACCTTGTTGCAAACCTTTGTACTTTCTCTAGTTTCTTGACGTGCTTTATCAAGTGCGGGTTCCAAACAGGTGCTGCATACTCCAGTATGGGCCTGACATACACGGTGTACAGTGTCTTGAATGATTCCTTACTAAGGTATCGGAATGCTGTTCCCAGGTTTGCCAGGCGCCCATATGCTGCAGCAGTTATCTGATTGATGTGTGCTTCCGGAGACATGCTCGGTGTTATACTCACCCCAAGATCTTTCTCCTTGAGTGAGGTTTGCAGTCTTTGGCCACCTAGCCTATACTCTGTCTGTGGTCTTCTGTGCCCTTCCCCTATCTTCATGACTTTGCATTTGGCAGGATTAAATTCGAGAAGCCATTTGCTGGACCAGGTGTCCAGTCTGTCCAGGTCTCTTTGAAGTCCTGCCTGGTCCTCATCAGATTTAATTCTCCTCATTAACTTCACATCATCTGCAAACAGGGACACTTCTGAGTCTAACCCTTCCGTCATGTCGTTCACATATACCAAAAATAGCACTGGTCCTAGGACCGACCCCTGTGGGACCCCGCTCGTCACAGGTGCCCACTGTGATACATCATTACGTACCATGACTCGTTGTTGCCTCCCTGGCAGGTATTCTCTGATCCATTGCAGTGCCCTTCCTGTTATATGCGCCTGATGCTCTAGCTTCTGCACTAATCTCTTGTGAGGAACTGTGTCAAAGGCCTTCTTGCAGTCCAAGAAGATGCAATCAACCCACCCCTCTCTCTCTTGTCTTACTTCTGTTATTTTATCATAAAACTCCAGAAGGTTTGTGACACAGGATTTGCCTTCCGTGAATCCGTGCTGGTTGGCATTTATACTCCTGTTCGTTCCAGGTGCTCCACCACTCTCCTCCTGATAATCTTCTCCATAATTTTGCATACTATACACGTCAGTGACACAGGTCTATAGTTTAGTGCCTCTTTTCTGTCTCCTTTTTTGAAAATGGGAACTACATTTGCCGTCTTCCATACCTCAGGTAGTTGCCCAGTTTCCAGGGATGTGTTGAAGATTGTGGTAAGTGGTACGCACAACATATCTGCTCCCTCTCTAAGGACCCACGGAGAGATGTTGTCCGGTCCCATTGCCTTTGAGGTATCGATGTCCCTTAGCAGTTTCTTCACCTCCTCCTCATCTGTATGTATGTCGTCCAACACTTGTTGGTGTATTCCTTGTTGGTGTCCCCATCTGGTCTGTCCCCCCAGAGTCCTTCCTGTCTCTACTGTAAATACTTCCTTAAATCTCGTGTTGAGCTCCTCACATACCTCTTGATCGTTTCTTGTGAGTTCTCCACCTTCTTTCCTCAGCCTTATCACCTGGTCCTTGACTGTTGTCTTCCTCCTAATGTGGCTATACAGCAGTTTCGGGTCAGATTTGACTTTCGATGCTATGTCGTTTTGTGTGTGTGGTGTGTGTGTGTGTGTGTGTGTGTGTGTGTGTGTGTGTGTGTGTGTGTGTGTGTGTGTGTGTGTGTTGTGTGTGTGTTGTGTGTGTGTGTACTCACCTAATTATGGTTGCAGGGGTCGAGACTCAGCTCCTGTCCCCGCCTCTTCACTGAACGCTACTAGGTCCTCTCTCTCCCTGCTCCATGAGCTTTCTCATACCTCGTCTTAAAGCTATGTATGGTTCCTGCCTCCACTACATCACTCGCCAGACTGTTCCACTTCCTTGACAGGCTGGACATCTGGTCCAACAACTGGCTTCTCGAATTGAACTCCGCCAAATGCTAAGTCATGAAGATCGAAGAAGGGTAAAGAAGACCCCAGACGGAGTATAGGCTAGGTGGCCAAAGACTGCAAACCTCGCTCAAGGAAAAAGATCTTGGGGTGAGTATAACATCGAACATATCTCCGGAAGCACACATCCACCAGATAACTGCTGCAGCATATGGGCGCCTGACAAACCTGAGAACAGCTTTCCGATACCTTAGTAAGGAATTGTTCAAGACACTGTACACCGTGTATGTCAGGCCCATACTGGAGTATGCACCACCTGTTTGGAACCCGCACTTGATCAAGCACGTCAAGAAATTAGAGAAAGTGCAAAGGTTTGCGATAAGGCTAATTCCAGAGCTACGAAGAAAGGTTAAGGGAAATCGGCCTGAAGACACTGAAAGACAGGAGGGTCAGGGGAGACATGATAACAACATACAAAATACTGCGTGGAATAGACAAGGTGGACAGAGACAGGATGTTCCAGAGATGGGACACAGCAACAAGGGGTCATAATTGGAAGTTGAAGACTCAGATGAGTCAAAGGGATGTTAGGAAGTATTTCTTCAATCATAGAGTTGTCAGGAAGTGGAATAGTCTGGCAAGTGATGTAGTGGAGGCAGGAACCATACATAGCTTTAAGATGAGGTATGATAAATCTCAAGAAGCAGGGAGAGAGAGGACCTAGTAGCACTCAGTGAAGAGACGGGGCCAGGAGCTGAGTCTCGACTTCTGCAACCACAATTAGGTGTGTGAGTTAGGTGAGTACACACACACACACACACACACACACACACACACACACACACACAATTAGACAGAGAAAGAGACAGACGGAGACAGGGAGCATAAAAAAGACAGCAGACTGAGCCATGAAAATGACATATAGACGGGAGGCTCGAACCGAGGTCCTGGGATTAACAGATCCAAAGCTCTTCCGCTGAGCTACGGGGCTTCTAATATGGGGATGGGGAGGGACTCAGACACAGCCCTTCTGTACCTGTTTTCCGCCTCAGGCATCAACTATGACCCAACTGATCTCCCTCCATCCCCCAACAGTCCAGGAGCTTTAGCAAGATTCCTTGTAACTACACAAGGTCACTCTTTGTAACTACCCGAAGTCACTCCTTGTAACCCCACAAGGTCACTCCTTGAGACTTGCTGTGACCTTGGTCGACCTCGCGTGAAGGTCAGTGTTAAACAGAGTGTCGTAACTGCTGTAACTATCAGTCGGTCCCTTATTTAACATAAACTTAACATAAACTAACATTGCAGTATCGTGTAAGTGGCCCCACTCACCACAAGGTCGTCACTCAGGCATCCATACTTACTGATCTCTTCATGTTAATGTCTGTTGACACACACTTGGCTTGTTGCTGTTGGATCAGTCTTAGAAATTGAGAGCTGTTGGATCAGTCTTAGAAGTTGAGGACTGTTGGATCAGTCTTAGAAGTTGGGGACTGTTGGATCAGTCTTATTAGTTATGGACTGTTGGATCAGTCTTGGAAGACAGGGACTGTTTTATCAAATATTAGGAGTCTGGGAACTTCCAGTGTTTGTCCAGCATCTGAAATCATTCAGACAAGTTTCTACTGATTTTTTCTCTTTAAGAAACCAAGCAGCATTACTGGACACCCTGGCTAAGACAGCATCATGCTCCCCCGAGCTGGACACCCTGGCTAAGACAGCATCATGCTCTCCCAAGCTGCACACCCTGGCTAAGACAGCATCATGCTCCCCCGAGCTGGACACCCTGGCTAAGACAGCATCATGCTCCCCCAAGCTTCACACCCTGGCTAAGACAGCATCATGCTCTCCCAAGCTGCACACCCTGGCTAAGACAGCATCATGCTCCCCCAAGCTGCACACCCTGGCTAAGACAGCATCATGCTCCCCCAAGCTGCACACCCTGGCTAAGACAGCATCAAGCTCTCCCAAGCTTCACACCCTGGCTAAGACAGCATCAAGCTCTCCCAAGCTGCACACCCTGGCTAAGACAGCATCATGCTCTCCCAAGCTGCACACCCTGGCTAAGACAGCATCAAGCTCTCCCAAGCTGCACACCCTGGCTAAGACAGCATCAAGCTCTCCCAAGCTGCACACCCTGGCTAAGACAGCATCATGCTCTCCCAAGCTGCACACCCTGGCTAAGACTGCATCAAGCTCTCCCAAGCTGCACACCCTGGCTAAGACAGCATCAAGCTCTCCCAAGCTGCACACCCTGGCTAAGACAGCATCATGCTCCCCCAAGCTGCACACCCTGGCTAAGATAGCATCATGCTCTCCCAAGCTGCACACCCTGGCTAAGACAGCATCATGCTCCCCCAAGCTGCACACCCTGGCTAAGACAGCATCAAGCTCTCCCAAGCTGCACACCCTGGCTAAGACAGCATCAAGCTCTCCCAAGCTGCACACCCTGGCTAAGACAGCATCATGCTCTCCCAAGCTGCACACCCTGGCTAAGACAGCATCAAGCTCTCCCAAGGCTGCACACCCTGGCTAAGACAGCATCAAGCTCTCCCAAGCTGCACACCCTGGCTAAGATAGCATCAAGCTCTCCCAAGCTGCACACCCTGGCTAAGACAGCATCATGCTCCCCCAAGCTGCACACCCTGGCTAAGATAGCATCATGCTCTCCCAAGCTGCACACCCTGGCTAAGACAGCATCAAGCTCTCCCAAGCTGCACACCCTGGCTAAGACAGCATCATGCTCTCCCAAGCTGCACACCCTGGCTAAGACAGCATCAAGCTCTCCCAAGCTGCACACCCTGGCTAAGACAGCATCAAGCTCTCCCAAGCTGCACACCCTGGCTAAGATAGCATCAAGCTCTCCCAAGCTGCACACCCTGGCTAAGACAGCATCAAGCTCTCCCAAGCTGCACACCCTGGCTAAGATAGCATCAAGCTCTCCCAAGATTGATGCTGAGGGCCAGAGTGCTGATTACTGATCACCAGCAATCAGGACACACAGGCCTGGAGCAACTTGCTGGCTTCAACACATGTTCTTCAGCAGACGTTCTTGTATACCGGATTTATTATCTCGGTCAGATGGTAGGGGCCCCTGACTCTCCTGCAGTAGATGGTAGGGGCCCCTGACTCTCCTGCAGTAGATGGTAGGGGCCCCTGACTCTCCTGCAGTAGATGGTAGGGGCCCCTGACTCTCCTGCACTAGATGGTAGGGGCCCCTGACTCTCCTGCACTAGATGGTAGAACAACAACAACAATAATAACAAGAATATTGAGGGTGTCATCTTAAGAAGTTATCACACACACAAACACACTCTCTCTCTCTCTCTCTCTCTCTCTCTCTCTCATCTCTCTCTCTCTCTCTCTCTCTCTCTCTCTCTCTCCTCTCTCTCTCTCTCTCTCTCTCTCTCCTCTCTCTCTCTCCTCTCTCTCTCTCCTCTCTCTCTCACACACACACACACACAAACACACACATACACTCAACACTCACAACACACAACACACAACACACACACTCAAACACTCACAACACACAACACACACTTACACTCAACACTCACAACACACAACACACACTTACACTCAACACTCACAACACAACACACACACTCAACACTCACAACACACAACACACAGACACACTCAACACTCACAACACACAACACACACTTACACTCAACACTCACAACACAACACACACACTCAACACTCACAACACACAACACACACACTCAGCACTCTCAACACACAACACACACACTCAACACTCACAACACACAACGCACACACTCAGCACTCACAACACACAACACACTCACTCAACACTCACAACACACAAAACACACACTCAACACTCACAACACACAACACACACACTAAACACTCACAACACACAACACACACACTAAACACTCACAACACACAACACACACACTAAACACTCACAACACACAACATACACACTCAACACTCACAACACACAACACACACACTCAACACTCACAATACACAACACACACACTCAACACTCACAACACACAACACACACTCAACACTCACAACACACAACGCACACACTCAGCACTCTCAACACAAAACACACACACTCAACACTCACAACACACAACACACCCCACTCAGCACTCTCAACACACAACACACACACTCAGCACTCTCAACACACAACACACACTCAACACACACAACACACAACACACACACTCAACACTCACAATACACAACACACACACACACTCAATATTCACAACACACAACACACACACTAAACACTCACAACACAACACACACACTCAACACTCACAACACAACACACACTAAACACTCACAACACACAACACACACACTCAACACTCACAACACACAACACACACACTAAACACTCACAACACACAAACACACACACTAAGCACTCACAACACACAACACACACACTAAACACTCACAACACAACACACACACTCACAACACTCACAACACACAACACACACACTAAACACTCACAACACAACAACACACACACTCAACACTCACAACACACACTAAACACTCACAACACACAGCACACACTAAACAATCACAACACACAACACACACTAAACACTCACAACACACAACACACACACTCAACACTCACAACACACAACACACACTAAACAATCACAACACACAACACACACTAAACACTCACAACACACAACACACACACTAAACACTCACAAACACACACACTAAACACTCACAACACACACACTAAACACTCACAACACACACACTAAACACTCACAACACACACACTAAACACTCACAACACACAACACACACACTCAACACTCAAAACACACAACACACACACTAAACACTCACAACACACAACACACACACTAAACACTTCACAACACACACACTAAACACTCACAACACACAACACACACACTAAACACTCCAACACACAACACACAACCAAAAACACACACACTAAACACCCCACA